CGTTGATGTTCGTTGCAGGTACCAGCTTCCATGTATTTCGGTCTTGAAGAGCTTTTAGCTCCTTTTCCATCGCCTCCTTCCATTTCGCCTTATGTTCCCCCCCCAGAGCCTGCGACAGAGTCGAGGGCTCGCGCGGAGATGGCGGCGGCGGATGCTGGACGGAGACCCATAGACCGAGGATCTGCAGTCCCGTGGGTGTGTGTCGAGGGGAATTTTCATTCCCGGAATAGGCTGCTTCGTCACCATCTTCTGGATCAGGTAAGAATTTTGGGCCGATGCATTCTGAAACATTCGTGTCGACCGGGTGGGGTGTAACGTAACCTTGGTCAGCGAAGTGGTAAAAGGTGTCGAGGTTGTTGCTATCGAGAGGATTGTCTTCGTCGAGTGGAACAGGTACGGAACAGAAAGGGAGTGGTCCGGCAGCTTCCGAGGCTCCAGGTACGTCTTCTTCTGCTGCGTCAGCCTCGGCAGCACGGTCGGCGAAGGAACGAAGGCCCGCGAGGCCGTCGGTGGGGTCGTGTGTGTTGGCAATGTTGTCCAGGTAATGCTGCAGCGTCAGTCGCTCGTAGAAGATAACATCACGTGATGCCACCGTGTTTTTGTCTTGTATGTCGAGGATTTTCCATGCGTGAAAATGTTTGGCGATGCCGAGGTGTAGTCCCCACCGAGCTCGTTGAGTGAAGCGTCCTGCTCGGGCTGTGTGGGGTCTGTACTGTACCATGCAGCCGAAAACTCGAAGTAATTTTGTGCTGCCCCTTTTTCGTGTCCACAGCAGGTGCGGTGATGCGTTGTTGGGAAGTGATGACGAGGACAACAGATTGTGCAGATGGACTGCATGTGTCATCGCGTCTGGCCATCGTGTGGTGGGCAGTTTCATCCCCAGGAGCAGCTTTCGCATCGTCGTCTGCAAGGTCCGGTTCATGCGTTCTGCGACCCCCTGCTGCTGGTGAGCGTAGGGCAGAGACACCAGGCGTCTGATTCCTCTTTCCGCCAGATAGGTCCTGAAGCGTTGTGACTGATATTCCAGTGCACCGTCTGACTGGAAGCTCTTGAGCTTGGTTCCTGATTCTCGTTCGGCGATGGGGAGCCATGTTGTGAAGGCGTCGAAGGCTTGATCGCGCGTCTTGAGGTTGTAGTGCCAGACGTATCTTGTTGCTGCGTCGATAAACGTGATGACATAGTTGAAGTCGGCTTCAGTGTCTTCTCGAGGCATATTTAAAATGTCGCTGTACACTTTTTCCATCGGTGCGTATGCATGTGCGCTTGGGTTGTGATGGGATGGAAAAGGCTGGTGGGGAAGATCGGCTTCGGGGCACGTAAAGCACCGTGCACGTGGTCGTCGAAGTTCTTGGCCGCTCGTTGTAAGGAGGGCGTTTCGTTCTAACACTTCGGCTTGGATGGTTTGCAGTATTGTACTGTTTGCAGGATGTCTGAGGCGTTGGTGCCCGATGTCGTCGGGAGCGCGATGGCCGGGCGAGCGGTGGTATATGTCGGTGTTGGAGAAGAACGCGACGACCGTGGCGGGAATGCGGCAGACTTCTCGTGTGATGGGCATAAGTTGATCTGCTACAGTTGGCGGTCCTCGGATTGCTGGTGGTGGTACTCGGCTGGGTCCTGCTGCTCCTACTCCAGGTGATGGTTGGGAAGGGACATTTGCTGGTACTTGTCTTTCTTGTCTGATGACTGCTAACGCTCTTGTTCTCTCTGCTGCAGGTATGGTGTTGGAGTACCAGAATCCATCGGGGTTGAAGTCGGGGTCAAGATCCGGCGGGTGTGTCCAGGCGGCGAACGACACGATCCCATCGCTGTCGGCAGTACCGCGGTCGGGGACGAAGTCCAACACGAAGACGCCGGACTTCAGTAGAGCACGACCGATGAAGAGGCCGCCCTTCCCATGGTAAAGGCGAAACTCGTTGGAGTCCGAGTCGCATTCCAGGTGAATCCCTTTTGCCATTAGCTGGCTGACGCTTAGTAAGTTATATCCCAAGTTGTCGACGATGAGGACCTTGTTGAGTTGAAGTATAACGTTTGTCTCCATGGATTGTAACTGAACCACTCCTTGTCTGTTTGTTTTCAGGTTCTTGTTGTTGGCGACGGTGATGATGACGTCGCGGTTGAGGCGTCGCTCTCGTTGCACGAAGCATCTGGAAGAACACATGTGTTGACCGCAGCAGCTGTCCAAGAACCAGGTGTTTCGCCCCGTGGGTTCGGCGTTGGCGATCGCAGCGTATGTCGGGTTGACCTGAAGTCCTTGTGAGCGCGGCGGCGGGAATTCTTCTTCGTCTGGCGCGTAAGTGGGTGGTGATCCGGGTGCGCAGTTGTCGATGTGTACCATGCAGTTGATGATGTTCGGTGTCCCTTGTGCAGATGTGGAAGAACGCCTTGGAGGGCTTTCTTGAGTGGAAGCGACTTGTGGGTCTACTGGACGATAGACACGAGGGCGTGTGCAGTTGACTTTGGAATGTCCGGATGTTTGACAGTTGTGGCAGAACGGCGGCACGATGGTGAGTCCTTTGTTGTCGCATTGATCTTGCTTGCTGCGTCGATTGTAGTTGTTGTCGTTCCTTCGTTGATTGTAGAAAACTAACTGCTGCTGCTTCCTTGGTTGTCTTTCTTCGAACAGGTCCATCTCCTGTTGTTCAGCATGAAGCTCGGCGCAGAGGTGCATCTCCGAGATCCTTCCGTGGGCGCGAAGAAGCGAGCGTGTGGTTCTCCATTCTGGCCTGAGTCCGGCGAGGACAAGCGTCACGAAGCTTTCTTCAGTGATTGTTCCTCCGCACCGAAGCAGGCGGTCGCGGAGGGTCTGGCATCGACTCATATACTGCATCGCCTTTTCCCCGGTCTTCATCTGTATTGTTGTCAGCTGTTGCATGAGTCTGCTTTGTGTCACGCTGTCGTTTGCTTGATAGAGACACTTGAGATGATGCCATGCGAGTTCCACGGAGTTCCATAGCTCCGATACGTTCTGATACTCTGCTGTTCTTGTGGTGACAGGTTCCGCGGGAGAACTGTGTACGCCAGCAGCGACTGATATGTAAAAATTTCTTGCTCCTTTCCAGTGCCGTTGCTTGGGAATGGCAGGGACCCATTGAAGTATCCCAAGAGATGCGCAGCCTCCATCAGTAGCTCGAACTCAAAGCTCCAGGTAAAGAAGTCGTGTCCGTTGAACGGTGAGGATGTTTGTAACTTGATTACGTGTGAAAACTGCGCCTGGAGACTCAAAATCTCGTTTGGTGTCTGTTGTGATGCAGCTGCTGCTGGTTGGGCACGGGGCGGCATGAACTCGAATGTCCTCGGTGAAGAGTGATAAGGCGCAAAGGTAGGCGCTTGGTTGTGTCGCCCGAATGATGAATTGTCGAGGCTCATCGGCGCTAATCCCATGTTTCCTCCGTTGCTCTGTGTTGAATGTGCAGGTGTCCTTGTCTGCTGCTGCTGGTCGAAGTGCGACATGAAGCTGAAGAACCTTTCCATAAGGTTCGGATCCACGCTTGAAGAGGGTGATGGGGTCACCATTTTCGGTGCTCTTCCTGTTGTTTCTTGAGCAGCGCCGGTCTCGGTTTGCAGTCCTGAAGTGTGCAATCCAGAGTTGCCGGGTTGAGTGTCTTGGGCGCTGGGTGAGCCCGTAGAGATTTTCTTGCCCTTGCTGTCCATGACTTGTAATCAATGAAGTCGTTGAATTGCAGATTGTAGATAGAGCGTAGTTGCTGGGAGTTTGGTCTCTGACCAGCTCTCATACCATGTTGGGCTGAGAAAAGCCCTTAGGATCTTTCCAGAGACTAAGTCCCAGTTGTAAAAGGCTTGAGTAATGCAGCGGAAGTTGAGGTAGTTGAACCCTTGTACGAGTATATGAGAACAAGTGATTGATTAAAGGAAACAAGCATACAGCAATATATAGAAAATAGGAAAGTAAAGCAGTTGTAGAATACAGTTGCAGGAGCGGTTATCGAGTCGCACAGCGACTCGATTGTCGCTTCGGTTACCATCCGTGCAGTTGTAATGGTCAGTCGCAACCTCCAGTTGCGACCCTTCGAGTCCCTTCGCGTTCTTTGTCCTTCCCTCGTGTAACCTCCGTTGACTCGCGTACCCGTTACGATCTTCCTCGAGTGTAGTGTTACACTTCAGAAACGCTTAAGTCCTTTGAGATATTTCAATTATAAAGCATGCGCTAAGAACCTCTAAGAAATCAGGAAAAACTCCATAAGTAACTCTGTCTGCTCAGGAAAAAAATATTTAGGAGTCCTGATTCACGAGGAATTTTTTGGGACCAACCCTGAAAAATCAGAGAAAAACTCAGGGGGAATCCTGAGCGATCAGGGCTCCTAAAAACCAATCTAGGGGCCTGGTTCGTACGCGTTGCTCCCTGAAAACTCAGTATTGGCATAACGCAATCCCTGAAATCCCAAGTGTTCAGAAACTTACAACCCTGAAGGGGCTAGGGTTAAGGAAAGTCCAACCCTGAAAATTACGGTAAGGGTTGGCCAAAACAATACCCTGTGAAATGAGGGAATCAGGGTAAAATACCCTGATAACGACAGCCCTGGTGGAGACATTCAGGTTGTCTCAAGGCCACTGTTTTAGATTTGGTGCTGGTTTTGTCTCTTAGAGGTCCACCATGTCGTCGTCTAGAGCCTCGTCCAGTTGTGAGGCAGAGATCTACGCTGGGGCTAAGGCCGCTCACGAGCCTCTTTGGCTGACGTTCTTACTCACTAATTTGTCTTGCTGCACTTGTTGACTGGCCTTGTGGCTGCCCTTGTGTACTCTGGCTTTTTATGAACTTCCACTATCTAGGCTAGGGAGCTAGAATAAATATATTTATATAGCTTAGCTTGGTCATACTGTATTTGTTTATAGTCTAGCTAGTTTAGTTCATAGTGAGTACAGTCTTAGAAACTTAGGACTCAAGGTTCTTAAACTTAGGAGGCTAGGTTGGCTAGGATACTAGGAAGAAGGCCGCCATGGAATAGCGTGAGGAAAATGGATCTAGGAAGGGAGAGAATGTCGAGAAGAAAAGGGGTTTGTTTAGGAAGAGAGAAGAGTACAAGAAGGGGTTTGTACCCTCTACAGAAAGGTTCAGTAACAACCTACCAAGCCTATATTAAATTATAACTTATATAATTTTAACACACCCCCTAGGCTTGGTAGTGTCAAGCCCACGCACACCCCCACACCCACACCCACACCCACACCCCCTAGCCCAGCACCCCCATTCCCAGCAGGAGCCGCAACGACTCCGGAAGAGGGTAGGTCTCACGGCCCCTTGAGACGGCAATGGCGGCAGCAGCGACAGTGACGACGGCGGCGGCGGCGGCGGTGTGCGGCGGCTCCAGGCCTGCGGCAACAGCGGCGGCGCCGGCGGCTCGAACGACAGAGGCTGGTGCGGCGGCCCCCGCCCTCTCGGCGGCATGTCCTGTCTCCTCGGCGGTGGAGAGGTCCCTCATAGGGCAGTCATCGGCTGCAGCAAGAAAGGGGGGGATGCAGGGGAAGCAGGTGCAGGTGGGAGGGGGAGGGGAGGGGGCGGGGCGAGGCGAGTCTTCAGCGACGCGCCATAAGTGGCGCGGCGCTTACTGGCAGGAGGGCAGGCAGGTGGCGGTTACGACGGCGTGCTGCCCACTGCCGCCCATCCACGCTGCCGCGGCAGCATGACGACGCCGCCAGAGCGCGGCGTCGACGCTGTGGCGGCACGCCGACGCTGCAACGGCAGCAAGGTGACGCTGCCACGGCAAAGCGTCGACGCAACCGGCTGCGGCCCGACGGCGCCGTCACAGAGCGACGTCGACGCTGCAGCAGGACGTCGACGTCGCGACGGCAGAGGCAGCGTCGATGCCGCAGCGGGACGTCGACGCTGCGACTGCAGAACGACGGCCCGACTCCACGGCAGCGCGTCGAGCCGGTCGCGGCACGACGCGGCCAGTGGCAGCGCGACGTCGCCACTGCAGCAAAACGCGGCCGCCATGGCCGCTCGAGCGAATGAGAGTGAGGAGTAAATGGCGGAAGCGTGAGGAGGCGATCCAACAGGGAGGATCTCCTGCTCTGATACCATCTTAGAAACTTAGGACTCAAGGTTCTTAAACTTAGGAGGCTAGGTTGGCTAGGATACTAGGAAGAAGGCCGCCATGGAATAGCGTGAGGAAAACGGATCTATGAAGGGAGAGAATGTCGAGAAGAAAAGGGGTTTGTTTAGGAAGAGAGAAGAGTACAAGAAGGGGTTTGTACCCTCTACAGAAAGGTTCAGTAACAACCTACCAAGCCTATATTAAATTATAACTTATATAATTTTAACATACAGCCCTAGTTTTGTATCCCTAGACATTTTCCCTTGGTCACAACTTTCCCGCTTCTCTAACACGCCGTCCAGCCATCACTTCACTCAGAGATGAGAATGAGAACCTCAGAGCACTGATGGTGGATGATTGCTGCTGATAGCTGGTGTCACCATATGCCTGAATAAATACGGTATGTGTACCCTTTCTTGTAAAAAGATGTGAAGTGACAGGCGGACTATAGTCACCCGAAATCAACCAAGGGCAAGAAGAGAGATGGAAGTCAGGATAAAGGACAAGAGTGGAAGCATGCCCACATGACCTGCATTGGGAGAGAGAACAAAAGGAGCAGGGCTGATTAGTTGGGGACCTGGGAAGTCAATGGCAGCTCAGAACACCAGAAACATGTGCTTGACAACACAGAAAAAGAGGAATCATGACGTGTGGGACAGTGTACAACGAGCAGATACAAGGATGAAAGCTGCGAGAAGAGTCAAGAATGGGAAGGGGCCAGATCAGCATTACGCTTCAGCATGGAGCGCAGAAGAGAGCAGAAAGAATAAAACATGCGGGAGCAAGGAAGAGGAAGCGAGAGGGAGTGGGGCAACAAGCTCACCTCTCACAATGGCGCTTGCACTCTTGCCAGCTGTGCCAGCCGGGGCAGTTCCCGATGCACTGCTACTGCCACTCATATCTCCCTTGCTGCTGCTGCCAGAACTGCCGTCAGCGCTAGCACTGCTGCTGCTGCTTCCTGTGCCATTGGTTGTGTTGGCAGCAGTGCCATTCCCTGTCATGTTCATGGCTGTGTCCTCTAGCACGAGGGGGTACACAGGCAGGAATCCAAAGTGCGGGAAGAGCACCCCATCCACGCCATGCACCACCACCCCAGCGCTGTCCATCAGGTCGGCCCGCACCACCCGCGCCACGTTCATGTCGTTGCCGGCCTGCTTCCACATGCTGCCGGAGCCTGCCGCCCAGCCGTACGAGGACCCGTTGAGCCAGGCGAGGTAGTCGTCGGCGCTCACGTTCAGCCCGGGCACGGCCTGCGCCAGCCACGCCTCCACCTTCCCCCACCACTGCTGCTGCGCCTCCGCGCTCCAGTTGCCCCACTGCCCCCCCATGCCCGCCCCCCATTCCGCTCCGCCACCCATTCCCCCTCCCCCCATTCCCCCCATCCCTCCCATTCCCCCCATCCCGCCCCGCATGTCCCCCGGGAGCGGATCCACCTGGGGGAGCAGGCCAGATGGGGCGGGGTCGACCAGGGGCGGTTCCACCATCTGCGCGCTCGCCGCGTTGCGTGGCGCCACCGTGCCGTTAGGAGAGGTCGAGTCGCTGACGGGAGGCAGGATGGCGCCGCCATCAGTAGCCGTCCCGTTAGAAACGACCGTTCCGTTAGCGCTCACGACGGTGCCGTTGGCGTAGTAGACGTTTCCGTCGGAGTCCACCGCTATCGCGCTCGTCGCGCTGTCAAAGATGACGGTTCCGTTAGCGGCGACGACGGTGCCATTCGGGTAGTAGACGGTTCCGTCAAAGCCGACGCTGACGCCTTCGCTGATCAGCGCGCGCTGCGCCGGCGAGTACGCGTTGAGCAGCGCGGCCTTCTCGCTCGCGTTGTAGTTAATCCACAGCCCCTGCCCGTTCAGCGTCGAGAGGTTGCCAGGAACCTCCGCGTACTGCGCCGCGATGGCCGCCGCGTTGAGCGCCGCGGCCGTGGCCACGTGGAACGCGAGGAGGTCCGCCAGCGCCTTCAGCGCCTCGGGCCGCTCCTTCGCCAGCGCCGCCAGCGACGCGGGCGACCCGTCGCCAGAAAACACGGCGCTCAGCGCGGCGAGAAGCGGGTCGAGGCGCAACGGGTTGAAGTCGCCGGGAATGGTCCAGTTGAAATCCGGCATGGTCCAGTTAGCCCCGGGCATGGTCCAGTTAGCCCCGGGCATGGTCCAGTTGAAATCGGGAAACGTCATGTTCTCAGGAAACGGCATGGTCAGATTCCACCCGTCTGGGCCGCCATTAGTAATGCCGGGGATCGTGACGTTGGGTAAGCCGGGCAGAGAGATGTTCACTCCGGACAAGTCCACTTCCGGAAGGCCGGGAACCATCGCCGCGCTAACTCCGCCGCTAGTATCGGAGCCGGGGCTGCTAATAACGGAGTCGTTCGCACTGCCCGTGCCGCCGCCCGAGCTGCCCCCCGAACTAACTGGGTCGGGAGTCCCGCAGCCGCCGAAGCCGATACCATAGCCTCCGCCGGGGTAGGGGATGTAGCCGCTGACGTATGGCAGGGCGAGGGCGTGGAATGCGGCGCGCCACGCGGCGTCGGTGGGCGCGAAGAGAGTGAGCGGCGCGAGGGCGGGCAGCTTCGCGAGCAGCCCAGTGGCGTTGAGCACGAGCAGCGACACGCGGAACGACTGCGCCGCCGACGAAGCGCCCGACAGCGCCGCCGATATTGACGACGCCGCGGGGTCCTCCGCCGCGCGCACGGCGCAAGGCGCGCAGAGTGCGACGGAGAGAACGAGGAACAGCAGCGCCGTGAGGGGAAGGCGAGTACTACGTGCCCTGAAGGGAGGGACGGGGCGAGCGGATGACATCTTGGGCTGCGTGAGAGGATAAACGCTTCGATGCAGAGACAATTGACGAGCGCGAGTGTCTGTCAGTGTTGGATCAAGGCCGAGGGAAAACCATCCAACGAATTCAAGATACCATCAGATATCCACGCTGTACTTATATGGTTGTTGCTCACTGAAGTTGGGACAGGTTGAGGAGAAAATCTGAGACGGGCAGGGGATCGGCGATAGGCGAAAATCTGAGACGAAACGAAGCGAAGCGAGACGACGAGAGGCGAAACGAGGGCGAAGGCAAAACAGCACAGCGGACCCACCCAAGCGGTGCGCTCCTTGAATCTAGCCTGGGGCTACTCCCGCGTGGAGCTGCTATGATTGGTTGGTCTGAACAAATGTCGGTGCGGGGCTAGGTGTTCTGTACTCTGTCACTTTCCTGTCCGGTGCAGCGGGGGTGCGGGAGGCCGTGGGAAGGAGGTGAATGACGAAGGCTCGAGGAAATAGGGCCTAGCATGAGGTGCATATTGCCGTGCTCTAGGTGACATGGAAAAGAAGAAAGAGGGCATCTGTTAATCCACTTGTTTGTGAATCTATATAACCGATTAGTATTAGAAAGTCCATGTTGGACCTATCTGGGCATAATATGGCTACTGAACGGGCTGCATCAAAATTTCCAGACCCCAGAACTGACCGCGGAGTGCATGTTTGCCCCGCTCTATTTCCGCCAGAAGACACGCCATGCTCACCCCCCCTTTTCCCCCCAATCCCCGCATCTCCATACACTTAGCCATCGGTATTCTCATATCCATTATTTTCACAGGGGGTGCCGCCGAGAGGGTATTCACCCCCCAAAAGCAGCTCCTGAAGAGCAGATCCGGATACCCTTGGAAAACAATTTAAACTTTGGTTTCTATGCGAAACGTTTACTGCTCCATTTAGTGTTTCTCTAGTCAGGAAACCCGACATCAGCTTAGGCAGTGCTCGAAGCTTAGGCCGTAGGAACAAGGGGATACTGTCTACGCACTCAGAAATGGTCTGGGTGGAAACAAATTGTTTTCTGCCGCCCAGTTTCAGGGTGTAAAATTAACGCGAGCTAAGTGTACACGTATTGGTTGACTGAGCGCACAGTAGTCACACCTTCGTCGCGCCTTCTCCCCCGACACTTTCCGCACGGCTCTCCATCCCATCCCACCACTGCCTCCCGTTCCACCTGTCCGTACAGCGCGGCTCCGCCGCAACCAGCGCACGCTGCGGGGAGGGGATTGGCGGATTGTGGGTAGCACACTGGTGCGCGCGCAAGACAACTTTTCGTGCCCTCACTCGTGTGTGTTGGTTGAATCTTGATGCACCATCATCGCATGTCTGCTGTGGATAAATCATGGCGGTATTCCAGCAAACTTATCAGACTTTTGGCTAGGAGGGGTTTACTACTTACGTGTGTAGACTCGTCGTTGCTGCTGCTTCCTCTGTTGCTGCGCCCATCCGAGCCCAAACAGCAGACGACGCGCTAGCTTTGAAACATTACCTTGCGTCACTTCCTAGTAGCTATTGTCAACCACTGCTTGCTTTTCGTTCGCTCAAGATGCTCCGTTTCCTCCGTTTACCAACGAATGTAGCCCACACGGCGCTGCTGTGCCTGTGTCTCTCCGTCGCGCTCTCCCCGCCGCTCGCGGTGCGCGCGGCGGAGGACCCCGCGGCGTCGTCAATATCGGCGGCGCTGTCGGGCGCGTCGTCGGCGGCGCAGTCGTTCCGCGTGTCGCTGTTCATGCTCAAATCCACGGGGCTGCTCGCGAAGCTGCCCCCCCTCGCGCCGCTCACTCTCTTCGCGCCCACCGACGCCGCATGGCGCGCCGCATTCCACGCCATCGCCCTGCCCTACGTCAGCGGCTACATCCCCTACCCCGGCGGCGGCGGCTACGGAATCGGCTTCGGCGGCGGCGTGAGCCCCGGAAGCCCAGGCAGTCCGTGCGGCAGTTCGGATAGCACCCCTTGCCCCACTTCCAAGGGCGACAGCCCGGTTGCCCCCCCCGGTACCCCCGTTAGCAGCCCCGCGCAGCCGATGCCTCAATCCGTCCCCGGCGCCGCCGCTGCTGCCGGAGGCGCTAGCGGCGGAGTTAGCGCGGCGATGGTTCCTGGCCTTCCTGACGTTCCTGAGTTGTCGCTGCCCGGAGTAAACATTTCTCTGCCCGGCGGCCCCAACTTGACTATCCCCGGCGTTCCCAGCATTCCCGGTGTGCCCGGCGGTTCAGACGGTTGGAACGTGACGCTGCCCGATTTCAATTCGACCATGCCCGACGCCAACTGGACCATGCCCGAGGTCAACTGGACCATGCCAGATTTCAACTCGACCGTTCCCGGCGATTTTAACCCCTTGAGTTTCGACCCGCTTCTCGCCGCGCTGAGCGCCGTGTTTGCCGGCGACGGGTCGCCCGCGTCGCTGGCGGCGCTGGCGAAGGAGCGGCCCGAGGCGCTGAAGGCGCTGGCGGACCTCCTCGCGTTTCACGTGGCCACGGCCGCGGCGCTCAACGCGGCGGCCATCGCGGCGCAGTACGCGGAGGTTCCTGGCAACCTGACGACGCTGAACGGGCAGGGGCTGTGGATTAACTACAACGCGAGCGAGAAGGCCGCGCTGCTCAACGCATACTCGCCGGGGCAGCGCGCGCTGATCAGCGAAGGCGTCAGCGTCGGCTATGACGGAACCGTCTACTACCCGAACGGCACCGTCCTCGCCGCTAACGGAACTGTCATCTTTGACAGCGCGACGAGCCCGATATCGGTGGACTCCGACGGAAACGTCTACTACGCCAACGGCACCATCGTGAGCGCTAACGGAACGGTTGTTTCTAACGGCACCGCCCCCTACCCTGGTCAAACCGTCGACGACTACCCTCCCGACATGACTAGCGAGGCATGGGTGGACTCCGACGGGAACGTCCTCTACACGAACGGCACTGTGGTTAACGCTAACGGAACAGTCGTTTCTAACGGCACGCTGGAACCGTCCCTGGTCGATCCCGTCCCCGCTGAACTGCCCCCCCTCCCCCCGGTGGACCCCATTCCGGTGGACATGGGGGGCGGGATGGGGAGAATGTGGGGAGGCGGAATGGGGGGCGGAGCGGGATGGGGGGCGGGCATGGGGGGCCAGTGGGGCAACTGGAGCGCGGAGGCGCAGCAGCAGTGGTGGGGGAAGGTGGAGGCGTGGCTGGCGCAGGCCGTGCCCGGGCTGAACGTGAGCGCCGACGACTACCTCGCCTGGCTCAACGGGTCCTCGTACGGCTGGGCGGCAGGCTCCGGCAGCATGTGGAAGCAGGCCGGCAGCGACATGAACGTGGCGCGGGTGGTGCGGGCCGACCTGATGGACAGCGCTGGGGTGGTGGTGCATGGCGTGGATGGGGTGCTCTTCCCGCACTTCAGGGACCTGCCTGTGTTCGACAAAGGGAAGGGGGGAGGGGTGCCCATTTCAACACCCATGCCTGTGCCTATGCCCATTAGCGTTCCGATTATGGCTCCCAATGGGTCAGTTAGTGACGGTGGCAATGGCACCACGAGTGGCACTGGCGCTGGTGCTACCAATGGTACTGCCGATGGGGCGCTTTCTGACCAAGAAGCAGGTGGTGCTGCTGGCAGTGCAGGCGTCACTGCTGGTGGCGGAGCAAGCAACACTAGCAGCAGCAGCAGCAGCAGCAGTGGCAGCAGTGCGGACAGTTCGGGGAAGAGCACACCGGGTGGGACTTCAGCTGCGGCTGCTGGGTCACCGCCTCCCAGTGGATCCCAGGACAAGGCTGGCGCTGCTGGTGAGCATGGGGGGGTGTATGGGGGAGGGCCTGGGTGAGGGCATGGGGGAGGGGATGTGGGGATTGCATAGGGGAGTGTGGAGCATGAATGCCATTTTTCTTGCCTCCCTGTTGACTGTTCGTGAGTGGTGGCATACCCATATGCATTTGTGCGACTATGGCTGCAGTAGCAATACCCCTTCAACTGTGTGGTTCTCTTTCTCTCTGCCCCCCTAATAATATCCATTTTTTCCCATGTTGACTTGAGATTCAACCCTGCCTCTCCCATCCATCCCAAATCCCATCTCCCATCCGTTGTGTGCAGGGTTGTCAGCAGCCTCGCTCACTACCGCCTCCTTAGTGGTTATGGCCTTCTCGTTGGTTGCTCTCTTGTAGGGAAGACTCCACTTTGCCCAGGTTTGAACTTACAGCCTACCGTAGAAAAATGGGTGAGGCTGGTACAATAACTACGAGAGCTAGAAACCCGAAATCCAAGCGAATCATCAATAAAGCTCTTGCCAAGAATTTCATATCGCGCTACTCCTGCTGCTCCGTCTACCCCCAGGCGCAAAACCCCCGCAGCCTTTTGTTGCGTTGATAATAGCCCTAGGATCTTTTCAGAATGCTAAGTCCTTGTAACAGAGTGCTTGATTGTCAACTCATACATACATTTGCATGTAAAAGTTAAAGGCTAGAATAGGTGTGTTCCTAGAGAGTACAAACCAAACCCCCTTGTTCCCTCTTCCTTCTAATCATTGCGTTATTCTAACATGATATCACGCTAGGTTAGGCCCCCCTCCCCGCCTACGCTTCCGCCCCTAGCCTTAGCCCTAGCCTTAATCCGCGCCCTAGCCCGTGCCCCGTCACGCCGCGGTGGCCCCGTCCCGCCGCACCAGTCCCGTCTCGCCGCGCCGGCCCTGTCCCGCCGCGCCGGTCCTGCTAGACCGCGCTGACCCCGTCAAGCCACGCCGGCCCGTCACTCTGCCTCGACCCCATCTCGCTGCGCCGGCCCCGCTAGAACGCGCCAGCCCCGTCACGCCGTGCCGCCTCGTCCCGCTGCGCCGGCCCCGCTACGCCACGCAAGCCCCGTCACGCCGCGCCGGCCCCGCTACGCCGCGCCGGCCCCGTCACGCCGCGCCGGCCCCGTCACGCCACGCCGACCCCGTCACGCCGTGCGGGCCCCGTCCGGCCCCGCCAGCCCCGTCCCGTCGCGCCGGCCCCGCTCGACCGCGCGGCTGCCGCGCCACGCCGCGCCGCCGTGCCGTGCCGCCCCGACACGCCGCGCTGCGCCGTGTCGCCGAGCCGCTGCGCCGCCGAGCCGCGCCGCGCCGCACCGCTGCGCCGCCGAGCCGCTGCGTAGCCGACCTGCCGAGCCGCCGAGTAGCCGCGCCGCTGCGTCGTCGTGCCGCCGCGTCGTCGTGCCGCCGAGGAGCCGAGTCGCCGAGTAGCAGAGCCGCCGCGTCGCCGAGTTGCCGAATCGCCGAGCCGCCGTGCTGCTGTGCCGCCCCGACCTGCCAGCCTTGGTTCCCCCTTCTGTGCCGGCTCTCCAGCCGGCCGTCTCCACCACTGCTCTCCACCGGCCTCTCTTCCCCCTCCCCTAGCGGCGGTCAGCAGCTGCAGCCGTGGCGATGGCGGACGATGTGCTCCTCCTGGACGCGGAGGGTCGGGCGATCGACTTTGAGGCGTGGCTCACCGACCTCCGCCGCTCGTTGAGGGGACAGTGCCAGGATGGCCAGTCTCTGGCCGTTCACGTCGACGATAAGATCCCCTGCCCCGACCCGCCTGCTGCCCTCTCTGACGTCCCCACGCCCGCTGAGCGTGAGGCCTTTGCAGCTCCTTAACTCGCTCGCTCCGTCTGGGAGTCGCGTGACGCAGTTGCGCAGCTTGCTATCAGTCGCGCCCTCCCCCAGTCTGAGCGCCCCCGCTATCAGGCCCTAGAGACTGCGCAGGCGTGTTTAGATACTGTTATGGCACGCTATTCTAATCCCTCCTCCGCCTCTGCCGATCGTCTCCTCCTCCCCCTACTCTTCCCTGACCTTACGTCTTTTTCCACTGTCGCTGATCTTGCCACTCACTTGCGCGCACTAGAGACTAGGTACCGCGCTGCTAGCACTGAGGCTCAGCTTTTTGTGCTGCCTCCCTCCTTCGACGCTACCCTCTATTTCCTTGCCACGCGCCTTCCTGACCGCCTAGCCACTGCCCGCGACCACTTGCTTGTCCTCCACCGTGGTGACCTCACCCTCACTGACTTTGTTACTACCCTGACCGCGATAGACACTCGCCAGCGCACTATCGCTCACTCGAGCGGTACTGCAGCGGTCCCTATCTTCTAGGGTTGTGCTTCCTCCCAATGCACTTTCTCTAACACCTTTGCCGCTGTTGCTGAGACAGCCCCTGCTGCTGAGACCGCTATGGCGGCCTCAGCGCAGTCGTGTCAGGGTAGGGGACGCCGAGCCCGGGGGGGGCGTGGCAGCGGGACGGGTGGCGGGGGTGGCGAGGGTGGCGGAGGTGGTGGAGGGGACAGTGGTGCAGCCGAGGGGACCGGTGCTAGTGCCCCGGAGCAGTAGCCTCATCAGCAGCAGCAGCAGCAGCCTCAGCAGCGGCAGCAGCCGCAGCAGCCTCAGCAGCAACAGCAGTCGTCGCAGCAGCAGCAGCAGTCGTCGTGGGCGCCCTCGCCGCCGTGGTGGCCTGGCGGTTCTGGTGGTGGTGGGGGGCGCAGCTCGGTGTCGGGTGGTGGCTCCAGTGTGGTCACCTGCCAGTACCAGCTTCAGTCCGGCCCCCTCCGCGGAACCGTCTGTGACCGCTCCGATCACACCGCCGCACGCTGCTACTGCCGCCTCGACGACCTCTTCCGACTGGTACAGCCTGGTGCGTCGTCGTGTGCCTGTCTTTGAGATGGACATGTATCAGATTAGGTCTGCTTTGTATCCCATGTATGCTGATGACTCTAGTGTGACTAGACCCTATTACCCGGTGTTTCCTAGCGTAGGTGTGTCCGCTGTGTATAGTCTAGGTTCCCCTGCTGCGTTAGGCGTAGGACCCCCTGCATTGTTTAGCCTAGGCTCCACGCTGGCCCCTCCGTCAGCGGACGCTGCTGTTTCGCTCTCCTTCACGCTTGACTCTGGAGCGTCTGCCTGCTTCTTCCGCGACCACACTTCGATCACGCCTCTTGCCGCCCTTGCCGTTATCGCACTTGCTGACCCCTCATCAGGTCTGGTAGTTGCCCGTAGCTCCACCAGCCTTCCCTGTCTGGCGGTCCCCTCGGGTTCTCTTACAGGCTTGCACATCCCCTCATTCTCTAGGAACCTAGTTGGTGTCGGGTGTCTTCAGGACCTCGGCGTCACCAATACGTTCCCTGGTCACGAACAGTACGCAGTCTGTACCGAGGCCGCCACTGGTGCTCCTCTGACCACGTTCACCTGGGACCCTGCGTTTGGTCTGTTTACGCTTGACACTGCGTCCCCCCCGGTAAGGGCGTCCCCCAAGGTACCTGCGTCGACCCAGACAGCTGCGGCTTGCTCATATCGGACGCTCACTCACCCGTCGCTGCTGTGGCACCACCGCCTAGGTCACCCCGCACTCCCGCGTCTGCGTCACATGTCCCATCACGGTCTTGTCTTTGGTCTCCCTACGTCACTCCCTGCCCTCCCTCCCTCGCCTGCGCCGCCGTGCATGCCTTGTGTCGAGGGCCGGCCGCGCTGTGCTCCTCACTCCTCCTCGCTTCCCCCGACCACTGCGCCACTCTAGACCCTGCACCTGGACGTCTGGGGCCCAGCCCTTGTCCCTGGGCCGTGTCGCGAGCGCTACTTTCTAGTGCTTGTCGACGACTACACGCGCTACACCACGGTTTTTCCCCTGGAGCGGAAGGCTGATGTGCCTGACGTTCTTATCCCGTGGGTCGTAGCTGCGCGAGTCCATTGCTGCATCCCTGTGCTGCGTCTCCACCCCGACCGTGGCGGCGAGTTTGCCTCCGGTCGGCTTCGCTAGTTCTGTCGTGCGGAGGGCATCACCCAGTCGTACACCATGCCGGACTCCCCGCAGCACAATGGGATTGCTGAGTGACTCATCGGTTTGGTCATGGAGATGGCTCGTACCTCCATGATTCATGCCGGTGCACCCCATTTTCTATGGCCGTTCGCTGTTCGTTACGTCGGTCACCAGCTTAACCTCTGGCCGCACTCCCAGCGGCCGCTGGTTTCGCCGACCCTTCTCTGGAACGGGTTCCCTGGTGACGCGTCTATATTCCATGTGTGGGGCTGCCTTGCTCACATTCGTGCCTCTGGCATGGACAAGCTCACTGCCCACACTGTCCCCTATGTCTTCCTTGGCTTCCCCCTCGACGCGTCTGACTGGCACTTTTACCACCCGCCGTCCCACCGCTTCTTTCACTCGCGTGACGCCAGTTTTGATGAGTCTGTCTCCTTCTACCACCACTTTCCCCACCGCGGTCTCCCAGTTTCCCCGCCCCTGTTTCTGGTTCCCACTCCCCCGGTAGCCCCTGCTCCTCTCCCTCCTCGTCCCGCCCCATCTGGTGTGTCTCACGTCACTCTCCTCCCGTCGGTTGTCCCGTTCGTGGAGTCGGCTGACTCTGGTGGCCCCGCAGCATCGTTCTCGTCGCCTGTCTCCGCCCTGGTGTCTCCTCCTTCGCCGTCGTCGCAGCAGCAGCTGTCGCAGCCGTCGCCACCGTCGCAGCCGCAGCAGCAACCGCAGTCACCGCCGCCGTAGCAGTAGCCGCCGCAAGGGTTCGCCAGCTCTGGGGGTGCGGGTGTTGAGCAGGGTGCTAGTCCTGCTGTTATTGTCGTTGCCTGTCCCCGCGGTCTTGGGGGTGGCACCAGTGCTCGGGAGGGTTCTCGTTCTGGGGGTGCTGGTCCTAGAGGTGAAAGTCCTGGGGATGGTAATCCTAGGGTTGGCATCGCATCTAGAGGGGGTTCTCATCCTGAGGGTGTTGGTGTGGAGAGTCCTAGAGGAAGCCGTTGTGCAGCTGGAGGTTCTGATGTCGACTTGGAGCAGCAGCTGCAGCAGCAGTCGCCGCCGGTGTCCGTCCTTCGCCTCCTCGGTCTTCCCCCCCTTGACCACCCACCATCGCCTCCCCTGCAGCCGCCTCCCCCGCCTGTCTACGGCCCTGTTTTTTCGCTGCCGGACTCGTCTCCATCTCGTTTCCCCCCCTTTTTCTCCTCCTGTGTCTCCTCCTGTATCTCCTGACCCCACGCCTCCGTCCCACTTCTGGTCTCGCCATCCCTCTCGTGCCCGTCCTGTCTCTCCCGTTCAGCGCTCTCACCCTATGTTGCTCCGTTCCCACGCGTCTCATCCTTCCCTCCTCCCGTCGCCTCCTCCGTCCTTGCTTGTTGTCGCTCCGCCTCCTCTGTCTGACTTTCTTCGTTCCGTTAGTCCTCTCATTCATCGGGTCCTTGCATCCCTCGTTACTGACCCGTCAGTTCTTGTCTCCAGTCTTGACGCTCTTGTCACTGCTATCGCTGACTTCACCTCTACCCGCCGCCTTGACTACGCCAGCGCTCTGGTCTCTGACCCTGGCTGTCCTCCGTCCATTGGGGGTGCGTCTGCCCTTGGAAGTGACGTCCTAGAGGGTTCGTTCGAGCAGGCAGTTTGAGCCAGCATTTCTGTCCGAGGCTGCTCCGCATCTCTGCTCCATGCTGCTAGTCCCTGAGGGTGACCCTGACGCGTTTGACATCGTGGCTAGAGGCTTCAGTCAGCGTGAGGGG